TGTAGTAAAGAAGTACTTCTTTATAGTATGATAGTTTTCACATCAGCAATAGAATACAGCTCTGGTGACATTCCATGAGGTGGTATTGTTCTCAATGAGTTCCCTCTGTAACAGATTTCTAATAAAGTGTTTGGTTTTAAATTAGCTGGTTGGCTAGAGGTGCCCTATCCCTTATGAGCAGATGCTACCTTTTGGGGTATTTATTTGCGATGTGAATACTTTGACGCTCAGTGGTCAGTGTTTTCTGGTGTATATTTTTATCCTTGGGATAAATGGAAGCCTACAGTGGGAAGAAGAGTTTATACTACATCTTAACTTTCTTGGAACAGGTTGAATCTTTGTTGAAATTTTACCATATATATTTTTAGCATTGTTTTTATGCTTTAAAAGTACTGATTCCTAAGTACAGACACAAGAACATGGGCGAGTGGAATACGGCATCTCCAGGAAAGTGGCTCTGTTTGGACCTTAACCTTTCCTTCCTTCTATGTTAATAGGCTTATACCCAAAGAGTACATTTTTTTTTTTTGCTATATTTATCTATTCTTGGCTGTGTAAAAGCAATAAAGCTGTTTTCTGTTCTTCATCTTTCTCAAGCCTGAGTTCTTTTCTGTGTTTGAGGCTGAGGCTTTGATGGTTCTTGTGACCCTGTACCTGGGCTTAAGGTTGTGTCTTCAAAACCCATTGCCTCCCATTTCCACTAGCTAAGGAAGCATGTTTATTTCTAGAGTTCCTTTCAATTAGAGATCTCCATGTTAAATCCCCAAATGGGATTTAAAAATAAAAGAAGAGTTGGAAAATTGATATTTATTGGATAACTGATGAGTCACAACCTGGAGTTTCTGAATTCCAAATAATAAATAAATGTTTTGTAAAACAAAACAAAACAAACAAACAAACCTCATAGGAGCAAGATTTACTTTTGTGTAAAAAAATGCAATAAAACCAGGAACTTGTATACTGTGAGTTTCGTCTTAGTGATTTTACCCTGTAGTGGGGAAATTTAAGCAAGACAAGGGGAAAAACAGTGGTAAATGAAGAGGAATGTGTTAGAACCAAGGCTAAAGAACAAAGGATAAACACCCAAGCTTTGGGAAAGTGGGGAAGGGGGCGGTAGAGAAACGGTGAAGGAGAAAGCCAAATAATATGGAGACATACCAGAAAGACTAGAGACTATATTTACTCAGGTGAAAACATCAAAAAATCAAGAAAGACAACAGAGGAACAAAGCAAAAGAATCAATAAAAGTAAACACCTAAATTAGCACCAAAACAAAACAGAAAGGAAAAGGAAAACAAAACAGATAGCAACAAAAAATTGATAGAATTCCTCTGTTGCGCACAGTTCCGTGGTAGTGTCCAAGCCAGACCCCAGATCTGCTCTGGGAGCCCTGCGGAGTCTGCAGTAGGATTCATGTTGGGCGAGCGGCTGATCTTGGCCTCAGAAAGCTAAGGTTGAGGCTGGGATCTTCAGCCAGCCACTTTCTGAGGGTTGGTGGCCTACCCACGTCTTGTTACTTTGCTTGTCTCTGCGCGAGTCGCTGTGTCCCCTCAGACAACGAGAGAGCCAGGGCCGTGCCTGTGTATGGTTGGCGGCTATCGCTCTGCGCAGCCTCCTCTGCTCCCTGCCGCTGGCCCACCTCGTCTGACCCTCCGCCTGGAGCAGGGTGGGGTGCATGTGTGTGCACACATGCGTGTGCTCACTTCCCACTTGTTGCCCAGCGGAGGCTTAAGGTTGCTTAAATCCTTTGTCCCTTGTCTCTGGTGGCTGGGAGCAGGACAGAAACAGTAGTGCTCTTCAGTACTTTCTCCACCACCGCTGTGGCCCCTAACCTTGTTTTTGCTAGAGGTTCCAGTTAGCTGCAGTGGCACTTGACAGAAACATACGAAACAAAACACAAAACTTGATGGCCCATCCGGGAATCCAGCAGCTTCCTGGTGTGCAGGTAAAATTTGCTGCCAGACTGCAACGTCCTCTGCTTGCAGGAATGCAGAAGAGGCCAAGGGGCCTCACAGCTGGAATCCATCCTGTGTGGCTTGAGTTTCCCATGCTCTTGCAGTCCATCAGCTTTTGGGAACTTCTCCATACACGCTGTGTTCCTGCTCTGCACACACAGAGGCCCCACAGGCAGCCCTGTGAGCTGCTTCCTGGTTTTATAGTCTTTATTTGTTTTGTTTGATCTACAAGTGTCTTATTTTTAAATTGATTTTTTTGGCATGAAGATATATGTCCCTCCCTTTTTTCAGTTACCAGTCTTTAAATGATTTTCTCTGAGTAACACCAGTGTGGCTCTCACTCTGTTCACCTAGGTTGAAACACACGACTTCGGTTTTTTAACAGCTTATTCTGTATTTATTTTTGTTTCTATCCTGCTATTCCTTCCTTTTTCCCTTGTTTTTTTCCTCCCTCAGCATACTAAGCATTTTCTGCACCACAGAGCTGTGCTCCTGGCCCTGTTCTTCTGTTCTTTGATTTATCAGTTGTAAGTGTTCCTATTATGGAAGAAAGGCATGTAGGGTATTACAGCATGCTCCACTTTCATTTCCCCTTTTTCCCTGATACAGTCACATCACAAGTTAAATCATCAGTGGGCAGAGTTTTGCAGAACTGTTTGTTTTTACAGGCGTTAACTCTCCCTGTCCTCTTGCGGGTTTTCTATGCAGCTGTCATTGATTTTTTCGTAGGTTTCTAAGCACATGAATTGACTGTACTGAAGAAGGCTCTTGAAATTTGCATGTCTTTGTTTTCTTTCTTCTAGTATTGCTTGTGAGAATTATGGCCATATGGTCCTAGTTACAATGCATGGCCCCACCCCCATCTCACCCAGGGCAAGGGCTCTACTATGGGGTTACATCCCCAACCCTAGGTTTTTTTTTTAAAATTTATGGAAATTTTGAGGGTTTTTTCCCCAGGGTTATGAAATTTCACAGAGAATATTTGGAGCTTTTCCTCCTCTTTTCTGGCTACTTTTCCTTGTCTTTCTTTTTGGAACTCTATTGTTTGGGTTTGTGGCTCTTGAAAGAATTCTAATTTTATCATGTATTTGCTCTTATTTTTCTCTCTCTACTTTCTTGGCAGTTGTTTTTACTTATTTAAACCCTCTGATTTGATTTTTCAAATTTTGACATTAACTTTTAGTTTCTATTAATTTTTTTTGGTTCTGGCAATTGAACTCAGGACCTTGTACTTCCTAGGCAGGTGCTGTGCCACTGAGCTGTATCTCTGGCCCTTGTAATTCTTTTTGTGTTTTTTTTTCTTTTCTTTTCTTACTATGTATCTAAAACAAAGCTTCCTTATCAAGTGAAAAGAAAAAGTTATGTTATCAATAAGCAGCAAAATCAACCTGTTGATTGAAGGTGAATAACTGTTAAGGTAAACATCAAAGTGTATGAGCAAAAGCTGTCACAAAGTTCATAATATTATGAGCTATTTTGGGTGGAAATCTTAGAAACCTGATTCTTGCTTAGAGCACTGGTTCCTACCCCTTGCAAATTAGAATATCTATGAAAGGGAAACCATTTCTAAAATATGACTTGCAATTTGATATACGTCTGTTTTTTAAAACATCTTAAGAATCAGAATTTTGTTGGACACTCTTACACGTACTTTTATGTTTAGTGCAGGGTCATTAAGTCTGTTGGATATGTACAAGTGAGATCCATAGAAGGTGATCCTGCAGATAGTTTCTGTCCTTGGGCTCCTGAAACAGTGCCCAATGAATCTTTTTCTCTGTGACTTGGAGGATTTTCCTTGTTAGTTGCTTTTCGGTTTCCTTTAGGGAAAATTCTCAGGGGAGTGGTTTCATGGGCACTGCCCACTTTCTGGTGGAAGAGACAGTTATGCCATCACCTGTCTCCATTTATCAAGTTGTAATTTTCTAGTGATATGGTTAACACTTCACTGATGTCCTGTGAATCATAACTAGAATTTCCATGCCATCCTTCAGAATTCTGGCTTTTTCTTGGTGCCAGACCTGGAGCGTTTGTTCATTCATCCCATCAGCCTCTGCTTAGCAGTGCTGGCAGAACCCTGTTCCATAGATTGGTTTGGAGTTGGGATGTCTCTGCTCCCCTCAGGCTGCAGCATCATCACTGCCTGTGACCATGAATGGATGTTAATATTTGGCAGAGGTGTGCAGCAGAAGGGCTGACTTGCCTTTGGCTTTTCCACCACATCTACCATTTCCCCATGAGTCAGAAAGTTTAACTTTTACAGTCTCTCTCATTGGAGATTACTGAAAATTGAAATAATAGCTCCACATGTTTTTCAAGTGTCTGCTAGACTTTCACATTTTCTGTCATTTGCGGTCAGATCCAGGAAGTCAAGTGTAGTTTAGTCAGCTGTTTTTGTCTCTTTCTCTTACTGCATGCTCTTAGACCAGCTTCCTCTGTAGAGAAGGAAATGACATGTGTGTCGCTCAGATATGCATTTTACAACCTTGCTACAGAAAGAGATCAACGTGATCTCTTTGCTTTGTGTTTAGAAACCTTAAGGCTGTGTCTTATGGTGGGTCAGGTGCCCATGTCTAAATTAGTTACTGGTCACTGATAGCAACTTCAGTGTTTTTATAGGCCAGGGATCATTAATTGTTTAAAAAATATTTTATCTTACTAAAATCTGAATATGATAATACTAGTTAGGCATAGGTGAAAACTGCATACTGCCCTTCCTGAAAACTAGTACACACTAATCCTTACTAGAGGGAGAATTTGAAGGCAGGCATTTGACTTTGTTTCCCTACACTACTGCTCTACCTGTGGTGTGTAACTCACTGATCTAAAGAGAATGGGCCTGCTATTATAACAACTCAGGACTCCCAGGGGCTGTAGCTGACCTGGAAAGTCAGGTTTGCTTTTCTCTTGTCTTTTCTAGAAATTGCTTTTAAGTACTTCTAGAGATTGTAGCTTACAGTCTCCTCACAGTAATGATGACATATTTCATACTAGATACAAAGTGAAAGGCAGTACTGAGGTCATAACTTTCTTCTCTCTCTCTTTAAGATTACCCTGAAGGTAATAACTCAAGTGATTATCCTGTCCAAACAACAACATATCTTCCAGAAAACTTCACATATTCACCGTACCTCCCCTGCCCAGAAAAACTGCCTTACATGCGTAAGTACAGACTAAGTTTGATTTAACTGTTTACTGGTGTTGTAATGAAAGAATAACAACTACACGTTTGAGCCCATGGGATCAAATGTTACTGTGGTGTTAATGTTCGTTATTATGTAGCATGTTATTTGATGTTTTAAAAAAATTTGTGAGGGAAGATAAAGAACTTTTTTGGAAGAGGATGAGGAAAAACTGCAGAAAGACACAGGAAAAAAATGGTAAGTATCATCCATATGTGTCCCAGATAGATTTAAAAATTAATACTTTGGCTTACTTCCAAGTCCTTTTTTTTTTTTTTTTTTTTAAATCTGTACTGGGGGTCGGACTTACGACCGTGCATTTGCAAGGCAGGTGCTTACACTGCTGAGCTAAATCCCCAGCCCCACTTTCAAGTTCTTTTAAAACCATTTTTAAGAGTAATCAATGTTTTGTCTCCTTTTGTGTATATTACAACATTACAAATTAAATTAGGTTCCTTTTTGACCACTGCCCACAACGTATGTAATTTTCCATCCTTTTTTTCCAGAAGTAACCTGACTTTTATTACCAATGCATTAATATAGGTCATTTAAAAATTATTTTTACCTAGATAGTTGCCTGGATGTATAGAAAATATATATTCAGAGGTTTTAAGAATTTATGTAAATGGTCTTATAAATTACATTTCATTGTGACTTGATTTTATATTTTTTGAGAATGATCTGTGTTGTAACATAATTTGTTTTTCATAAGTGTTATAGAAAATGACTTTGTATAAATGTACCACATTTCATTTAGCCTTTTCCCAGTGGATGAATGTTTGTTTCCAGTTCTTTGCAGTCACATTTTTTTTTTTTTTTTTTTTTTTTTTTTTTTGCTACAAAGTGTCGTAACTTTGCAGGGTATCATAAGGATTTTCCTGTGCATATTTGCATGTGTCCTTGAGGATTCATATCTTGCTCCATAGACTGACTCAATTTTGCTAGATTTTTTGAACTGTTTTCCTAATCACCTATGCTAATTTATATCCTCACAATGTGCCACTTTGATATTGATATTTGGTTTTTAGTAATCTATTAGGCTAACCTAACGGATGGTATCCCATTGTTTGGTTTTTCACTTTCCTCATTACTAGTGAGTTTGTTGTAACTTTGTTATTGCAGCCTTGTTTTCCTAAAAATGAGTATTTTTTGTCTGTACCATACTGAAACCAGTGGGTAATGTTCTGCTGAAATATTGATTATAGTGATTTCATTTTCATAATTTGAATATTCAGTGTTTTATAGTTGCAGGAAATCTTTCTATCCTTGGTTTAGTTAACCATTTTCCTAATTGGTGCCTTATGAGTGCTAATTAAACTGTTCAGAAGTATTTGCCTGCCGCCCTCCTGCGGACAGTCCTCTCCTCCCATCCGCAGCAATTCTTTGACTGGGTGCCCCAGAGGGTGGGCTGGGGTGCAGTGTGGCTGTGCTGCCTGCCTCCTGGGGCTGCGCTCCTCTTCTGCCTCCTGTAGACTCTTGCCTTCTTTGACAAGGGAGGAGGATCACACTGGTTTGGCAGTCACCTTTTCACTGTAGACTTCTCCTGGATGCCTGTTTGAGGTCCAGCACCAAAGTTGAGTTAGTGGCGGCTAGGCGGAGGGTTATTTGGTAGAAAGTGTGACCATGTGTGGGTTAAGACTTGAGCAGAACTCTGGGTACAAACAGCATAATAACAGCTTGAGTGAGCCATCCACAATAAGCCCTTTCACTGCCTTACAACCTCTATAAAGCACAGCCTCAAATAATAGAAACAATCTCAGTAAGATTAAGGTTGAGTTAGATCAAAGCTATTCGAGTACAAGTAATGTTTAGTTTACCTATAATCACTAAAAGTGAAGTTAATGTAAAGTTGGTGTGTTTAATATATTTTTATCTATAAATCCTTTTTGATGTTTCCTTAGTGTAGTGATGGAGCTACCAGCATTAGATCTCTCTAAAGTTTGAATTTTTCAAGTTAGAATTCAAATAAAATGCATTTTATGGATTTTGGCAATGTTTGGTAGTCAGTGACACTCTGAAGTCTTCTTTTAATGTATAAGATTTGTATAAAGAATGTTAGCGAATACTTCATTAATGTTAGTGTTCATTAGTTCTCTAGAGGGAAAATCCACTTTCACTTTTATTGAATTTATGTAAGATTCTTCATGCTAAGTAAAATAGAATTTTCACCATATCTAGTGAAGAAAAAAAATGCTTAGCATGGATGTTTTGATTGTAATTTTTTCTGTGTGAAATAGATGGGAGATGTCAGTTGTATACTTGGCATTAAAATAGACTTACTTTAGTTTTCTTATCCTTTAAATGTTATTCAAATAGATGCATGTGCAGTGACTTAGGTATCCTCTCCTGCTGGTGGAGTAACTCTTTATGGTTAACTCTGGTAATTTCTGGGGTTGCTAAGTTTATGAACGAAATAAAAGCTACAAGGGCTTTTCCTCTTGAGTTTAAGTCAAATGCATATCAGCAAAGAAGGAAAAGATAAGCAAATACATTTAGGAAAGGCTCAAATAATGCTTAATCTCACCATTGTGAAGATGTTTACTATGAAAGAAGAGATGGGAGCCCTTTCCCAGAAAAGAAGCCATTGTGGAGTGGCAGCCTCCTACAGGATTGGGTATTCACAGGGACAAGCGGAGAGGAACTGAGCTCAGTGGGAGCCTGTAACACCCAAAGCAAGGTGGTTTGCTGCTGTGAAAGGTAATGAGTGAAGACAGCAGAGAGGGTGGCACAGGAGTCCCGGCTTAGGGATAGTTTGGGAGGCCATGTGTGTTCCTGCAGTGGGGAGAGCTGCTCCAGGCCATGTGGTAGGTGATGCAGGACGGGGAGGGGAAGGCTTTGTGTGAAGGACCAAAGATCCCTACGCATCTGTGAAGGCACAGGGCTCCTTGTATGTAGAGGGTTGTTTTCAGAATCTAGGGCCAAAAAACGACAAAGCAAAACTGAAAAACACTGCTACAGGAGTGTTAGGATTGCACTTTAGAAAGATTATTCAGATGAGAAATTGAAAAGTGGACGAGAATGGGAGATGGTGGAATCAGGAAGAGAATGGGAGCTGGTAGAAACAGGAACACTAATGAGGAACTTACTGCAGGGACCCGGGAGGAAAGGACAAGGCATGTGCCAAGGATGTGGCACTGGAAAGAGGAGGAGGCACAAAAAAGCAAGCTACTGGGTGCTCTTGGCCAGACATCAAGGTCTACCGAGTGGTCAGGGTTTATTTTTGGCTTTCTAACTTGGTGACTGTTAACTGCAGTAAGCAATGCGGGGCAAGCATCACAGTTTGAGAGTGGGAATGTTAATCAGTTCAGTTGGGCATATTTTTTTGAAGTTGAGGAGAATTAACTTGGGGTCTTATTTTTGTAGGAGAGGTCTAGACTATAGATGAGTGGAAGTGAGACTGGAGGAAGGCCAAGAACAGGTCCTAAGAGGATGAGCACTTAAGGGCCAAGTAGAGGTCAATAGCAGAGGAAACCATCAGGTTATGGAGAAGTTAGAGAGCAGGGGACACTGAGGGGAGCGTTCCAGGAAAGCCTGTTGTGTCTCCGAAGAGAACAGATAGAATGAAGATGTGAGAAAAGAGCGCTGAATTTGGCATGTAGGAAATTTATTTTATTTTATTTTTTATTTTAAAGAGGATAAAACCAAGGAAAATAAAACAATAAAACCAATAAAGAAAAAAAAAACAGTTTAAGTGATACAGGACTTCAAAACTTTACGAAATCAACAATGGTTACCAGAATGCCTTTTGTTGTCTTGAAAATAGCTACAGATACTCTCAGACATAGTAAAAATCAAACAGAACGGAACAGAATAGAAACAATAAAAACGAAACAATGAATGCAAGAAAGGACTTTGAAATAAGCTAATAGTAAATCCAAAGTGGTTACTGTAGTATGTCTTAGTGTCTTTCAAATAGCTGCTCATGGCAGGTAGGAAATTAAAGCAAGCAATAGCGTGATGGAGCAAGAAACAAAAAATACTCTCCTGAGAAGTGAGTCAGAAATATGTAAAAACTAGTTGATTTAAAATAAAAGTTTGGCTGGGCATGTTGGAGCCCTATAATTCTAGCTAGTAAGAACTCTGAGGAGGAGGCTCACCAGTTTGGGTCCAACTAGTGCAACTTAGTGAGACCCTATCTTAAAATACAAAATAAAGACTGGAAACGTAGCTCAGTGATAGAGTGCTCCTCGGGCTGATCCCAAGCAACACCCTGTACCAGTGTTTACCAGAGAAATGGATAGGACACAAGATACATAGGAATTTACAAGATTGGCTTATAGTGGCCACCCACAGAGTCAGGTCTGGAAGAGTGCAGAGGTGTCTGTACTCTGGAGACCACCGGGTTCAGTTGAAGGTCTCCAGCTCACTGCTGTGCTCCTTGGGAGTCTGTATCAGGGGGCCGATGGGTCTGCGAAGAAGGCTGAAGAGTCTGTACCGGAAGGCTGAAGGATTAGCCCTGGAAGCCGAAGAGTCTGTACAGGAAACCAGGAGATGATGTCCAAGGGGAAGGCGAAGACTGGAGTCTTTCTCAAGGAACAGAAGCAGATTCTTCCTTTATTTTCCCTTCATAGTATCTAGGTGACAAGCCGCCCTAGGGTAGGCCTTATACAGGTAGGGTGTGAAATTGCTGAATTGATTTGATGAAGCTTCTTCAACTGAGGTTAACACAGTCAGTCACCATCACAGTTTCTCCCTTGTCGACTTCACAACTAGATGCATTTTTTAAAACCAGTCTCTGGATACAAAGATAAGCCTGTTATAGTGCCTACCATGTTATAACTACCTTGTGTACAAATGGAAATGTACTCATTCTCTCTCCAGAGCAGAAGGTGAGTTTTTTTTGGGGGGGTGTGATGCTTGTTTTTAATGTTTTATAACTTGAATAGTAACAAAGTTTTAGCAATTCTTATGAACCATTATTAAGTCTGTCTATAGTATACTAGAACCATATGAAGAGAGAAACAGTAAAACCATAATCCT